TTGGTTTCTGCAGGTCCGATGACATGAAAGGCCACCCCAGAGCAGCGTCCCAACCTTTCAGGTATGGCCAACAAGGTTGACTTTCTGGTAATTTGTAAATATATATTACCCTATACACGTTTTCCTAAGCCTTGAACCAGTGAGAATAACCCAGGCACAGGTTTTTGTACTTTTTTTTTTTTTTTTTGGTGCTGGGAATCGAACCCAGGGCCTTGCTCATGCTAAGCAAGCACTCTGACTACCACTGAGCTACATTCCCCAGTCCAGCTTTTTGCTTTTTTATTCCTTTCTGTTCCAAATTATTGCAGTATGCTTTATTTTTCATGCTGACTGTTAAAAGGACTGCTGTGTTCCTGACATGCCCACAGGGCTGTGTGGCTGTGAGGTGATACCGATGCACTGGGTTTCCCACACAGTAAACAACAAGTGCTCTGCAGTTCTTTCAATCCATCTGTCCACTTTCCTCCTATTTCTGCATGAATCTGCCCACCCCCTTTGTGTGGTTTCAGTCCCCTTCCTCTCTTCCCCTGGAGGAAGAAGCAGTTTTTCTCTGGAAAAATGCCCCCTGAGTAGTCCTGGAGTGTACAGTGGTACGGTGACAGCACCATCCAGCATGGAGTGTGGTGAGAACAGTGGAAGTATTTGACCTGAACTGTTGATGAAACGCGGAAAGAACCCAATTCCCTCTTCACCTTGTTGTTCTTATTCATCTGTAGCCTTAGAATCATTTGGTGGAGGCTGTTGTAAGGGAAAAGCTTGAAGCATGTCGTAGTACAAATTTCCCAGTTTTGATTTGAGGCAGCCCATGGCTGCTGTTTGGAGGGCAGATGATGGAGAGTCTGTAAGTAAATAAGCTTTCCTCTACCAGATGGGAAAGCGATGTCTAACTACCTCACACATTTTGTCTAGGACAGAATATATTTGACATTAAAACCATGGTCAAGCCCTGACTGTCCAGATTTGAGCCAGTTTTCCCTTGTGTCCCTTGGTAGATGTTTACAGAGCACCGCTCAGCATCTCACCCAGCACTAGGAGTTGAAAAAAGAGACAAGTCTTTGCCTGTCTAATGGGGCAAACAGACGAATCTCAGGTGATGAAATAGGATGAACTCTGCTTGGGAAGTCAGTGCAGGCTTGCTGTGTGGAGGTCACGAGTGACCTGGTCATTGAAGGGTGGGCAATAGGAATGCCAGGTGGAGGTGGACCAATCACTTGTTTGCTGCAGGCTGAACCTCCTTAGATGGGGAGTCAGAGGAAGGGTGTGCCTGGGAGGTGGTGGCCAATCTTTTCTCCCCAGGACATCTGGGGGACTGAGAAACGTCACTCCCATCAGCAGCAAGCTCCACACAGCAGTGATGATCACAGGGCAGGAAGAGCACTGTATCAAACTCAGCCATCTTCCTCACTCTACACTTCATTGAGTTTCCTGCAGACAGTAGAGGACCAGACTGAGCTGCTCATCTGCTGCTGTTATGAATCATCCAGTTCGTTTTATTAGTCTCTCACAGCTGTGTGATGTAGCACAACCAGTCTGGATTTTAGGATCTCAGGCATCTGCAGAGGGGGCAGTGGGAAGTGGTTGGCCTAGTGGGACAAGCAGCATCCCAACTGGACCTAGGTGTGTGTGCAGAACCGTCAGAGAGCTCAAGGTGTTTTGTGTAGCTAGAGTCAAGGTGTCCAGGAGGAAAGAGAGGACAGTAGGGCCTGCTCAGATTGGCAAGCACCAGATTTTGGAGGATTTTGTAAATCAAGGAGTTTGGGCCTTAT